AAAATCTTGGCCCCTTCATCCAACAACTACCCCTCTTCCAACAACTGCCATCACTGCTGCCTCTGTGCTTACTCTTAGTTCTGATACTCACATGGGTGTTGGTGTGCATGTAGGTGAGGGTGTGAGAATGGGAGAAGAAAGGAAGAGAGGCTGGGAAACAGAGATAAGAAGAACAAATGTGATATTGAGAATGTTTTTGTCATTGTGATTATTCATAAAAGCTTCAATGACATCCAGTAAATGCAACATAGCTAAATAATACAAAATAATATATGTTATGGAACTTAAATGAATCTTTTCATAGATTACTTGTGATAAAGGTAAGTTTTATCACAGGAGAAGGATAAAGACTTTTTGTCAAATCATGAAGTCCAGTTTCCAGAATTGATTTCTGATGTGTTTATAACGGTAATATCCCATCATTATAGAAGGCAAATTAGGTTAAATGTTTACATAATCAAAGCCTTGCTCTGCTATTCTAATAAGCTTCATTTGTGTTTCTTGCTTGTAGTCATTCATTCTATAGGCATATTAAGACAGAAATAACACAGCATGAACAATGCAAAAAATAAAAGTCAACCCAGATGGAAAGAATAAATGTTGCCAATAAAAAGAACAACATTCAGAATGAATATATTTATAGAGTATAGAAAAGTACTAAATACAGTACCTACATTAGGAGGGGTCAAATCTGCATTTCACGAAGCAAAATAGGAAAGTATTATATATTATGAGACAGACAATGACAGCCCACACACAAGACAAGTAATACTGTAATATTTTTCATGTACACTAAAAACATTAAAAAGAACAATAATGGAGTAAAACTGTAGCATTCAAAGGAAAAAAAAGCTGCAAATTATTATTTTTTCCAATAGGTAATTCATTGTTCATATTGGTGGCAGAGTTATGTTATGTGATCATTTATAAGAATATTTTAAATGTATGATAGTTTTCATTAAACTCTTATGGAGAAATGACAAGTAAGGTTTCTCCATAAGCATTGTCTTTTAACCAAAACCACAACCACTTTCTGTAACTTGAACTTTTTAATAGCTGCTCCTGCCTAAACACACTAAATTGCATCTCCCACCACAATCCCCTACATCTGACAGTGAAGTAGGACAATACCACAAGAACATAAAGACAGTGAGTCAACTGAAAGCAGAAAGAACATACCTTCCAATAAATTTATATCGATGTCATTATTATCAGGCTTGTGTAGGCATGGGTATGTGTTAAACAGATTAGCTACAAAAGCTAAATTAAGTTTAGGATTGCCTGCAACCACATCTGCAGGAGTAACAAACTGTCTGCAGCCCAGTTTATCTGCTTCTTGAAGCATGAGTCCAGCACGCTTCAGGTCATTTTTCTCCTATACAATGAAATAAAACAAAAATGGTCAAGATTAAACTTTTGATTGGCATAATTTCTTATTGATATATGTATTTTAAGCAATTACTTTTCTACAAATGTATCAAATAATAACTCCAAATAAGGTCAGAATGTGCAGGAATTCCAAATCGACTTCCCCATTTCTTTTAAATCAAAAACAACAAATCTGAGTTTTCTTGCTGGGATCACTGAATCATATTTCACCCTCATTGCTGAAATACTCAACAAAACTCTCAAATATTTTATCAGTAAGCTCCTACTGGTCAAATTATAGGTTACCTGTTCAAGGCCACCTACTAGAGTACCCTCTGGATAACAGGCTTAGTTATCTCACCCATTCTACACTGAGTGATATTTCTAGTAGACTCTTTTCTCGATGAAAAACAAGTTTGGATACATATTTAAAAATATTAAAATCAGAAGGAACAGCACCCTCCACAACTGAAAAACTCTGGAAACAAAGGAAATAAGCCAAATATCTATAAACAGGAAAGCAGATGAATGAACTGTTATATTCACACAATAACATATAAGGATAAGTGACTCTTAGAAATACAAGTTCAAAAATAAGAACTAGAAACTTAAGTACAACATGATAAACTTTATATGAAGTTAAAAAGTAAAATTTTAAAAATCCAATTTTGTAAGAAATATGTCTGGAAATATGAAAGGAAACTATATAAAATGAAAAGCAAAAGAACAATGAACACAAGAGTCAAGCTGGTGGTTACCGCAAGGCAGAAAGACGGATTAGGCAAGAACTGCACAACCAAATGTAAATTAATGTCACATGGCTTGTTACAATTTCAAAGCAACCACAAAGAGAATTAAATAAAAAGAGGGGCATGCATGGACCCATAATGAGAATATATTATGACCAAGGATTATAACCTATCTAATTCTGTACACCAGAGTTGCAAAAAAGTAAAAATGTAAATAAAATCAGAGGAAATGGTAAACTCAATGCTATTAAACAATGAAAATGTTATCAAGGTAGACATTAACAATCACAATATGTGGACCATATTTACATCTTAATTCAAATGAATTATGAAAAGAAAATCCGACTTAATGAGGCTCCTGGAAATATCAACACTGACTAAATATTTTCAAATTAGATATAGAATGACATTATATATCAATGTTAAGTTTTTAAGATATGATAAAGTATTTGAGTTATACTAAGTATCTTTATTTTGACTTAATGAGGCTACTGGAAATATCAACACTGACTAAATATTTTCAAATTAGATATAGAATGACATTACATATCAATGTTAAGTTTTTAAGATATGATAAAGTATTTGAGTTATACTAAGTATCTTTATTTTTTAGAAATACATATTAAAATATTTATCAATGAATTGATATGATGTCTAGGATTTGCTTTAAAATAATACAGAAGAGGGAAATCGGTAGGGAATAAATGAAGACTGACCATAAGTTGATAGATGTTGAACCTGGAGGATAAGCACATGGTAGTTTATTATACTAAGTCTGTTCACTTTTGAATATATTTGAAATTTTCCATAAGTTTGTTTAAGTTTCTAATTTTTGGACTCAAAATAATTTGCAAACTTTGCATAGATTTGCAATACTAAGTTTCTGAGCTATTTCATTAAATAATGTGGAATATAATTAATTAGTAATGACTCAAGTTGCCTTTAAAACCAAACATTACGGACATTGTACTTTAAATACTTAACATATTTTCATATAATCTATAGTCTGACCAGATTTTAATGTTTAGATAGAACCATCCCTGGTATTTACAACTTATTCTAAAACAATGGGCTTCCTAGGAAATGTGTTAGGTGGGTCAGAACCTGTATCAGTCCTTCCTACCTACACCATAAATAGTAGGAACTACCATCTTTTATTTTGCGCATTTCTAAATGTGAACTGGTAGAACTGATAATCAGTTTCTTAGCAATCTAATAACAGCTTGATGCTCCCTTTCCTCATATACTTAGACAGTCACAAAAGCACCCTGGCAGGTTCCAGTTGCATTGGACCAAGGAAACATGGATGTAGGGTTGAGTCTGTAATACCTGAGGTCAGAATTCTGATATTCCTCTTCTTCAGATGTGACAGCCAGATGGGGATACTGCCCATAGAGAATTGCACTCTAAATTTGACTGTACCTACTAGTCAAATTCATAGAGTCAGAGAGAATAGTGATTACCAGGGGTTGGGGGAGCAGCAAATGGGGAGTTTTTTAATGGATACAGAGAATCACTACGGGATGATGAAAGAGTTCTAGAGATGGACAGTGGTGACAGCTGCAGAACAATGTGAATGTACTGGGTGCCACTGAACTGTACACTTAAAAATGGTAAATTTTATATTATGTATATATTACCACAGTATACAAAAAAAAAAAAACTAAAAACTGCACTTACATTAAATCCTGAAAGGTCAATGGTAATGGCAGGTCCATCTCCCCGTTCACCTTTAGGGGCAATCTGATTTAGCAGATGAAAATAAGCTCTTGAATCCTTCAAGAAAAAAAATGAACATTTTTTAAATGAATAAAATCATCACTGAATTTAGGAAAAAAGTGTTCAAACTGAGGAAACTAGCCCCATCCCAAAGAATGGAAAAACAACTTAGTAACTTTACTTTAGTAAGACAGAATTACTTGTAGGTTCCTGAATGCACCATGCTATTTCATACCTCAGAGCTTCTAGCAATGCTGTTCGCTACTCCAGGAATACTCTCCCTTACTTTTTTCATTTGTTTACATTCCCAAGCATCAGCACCAGTTAAGATTGAGGTCAAGTATTATCCCTTGGAAGCTTTTGCTGGTTTCTAGAATAAACTAAGTACCCTCCTCTATATTGCACCCCTTGCCCACTTCTATAAATTGTGACCACACTGTACTAAGTCATCCAATGTAGTCATCTCCAAAGACAGCTATCATAAGTCTTCCTCACACATACACGTACTTCCTCCCACCAAAAGGCAAAGGCACCACAGTTCTGTTCTCTCCTTCTGAAAGTTCAAGGTATTATTGTATTTGTTCTTTCTCTCTCTCTCTTTTTTAGCATTCACTTATAAGTGAGTACATGCAGTATTTGGGTGGGAAAGGAGAAGGGAAAAAGAGGTTAGGGAGAAATTGGTTAATGGACACAAGGAAATGATTACATTTTGTAAAGATGAACATGCTAATTATCCTGATGTGATCATCACATTGTACACAGGTATAGATATTCAACTCTGTACCCTACAAATATGTATAATCAACTATGTTTCAATAAAAAAAATTAAAGAATTAAAAAAAAAACACTACCCAGTAAAGTAGGTACTAATGTCACTATTTTAGTGACTCACGTAGGAAACTAAAATTTAGAAATGTTTATAGCCTTTAATAAATTCAGCTTCTTTATAACTAATGCTAAAAAAAAAAAAAAAAAAAATCAAAGGTTAGGGCTGGCTGGTTAGCTCAGTTGGTTAAATCACAGTATTATAACACCAAGGTATTCAGATCCCCATAACAGCCAGCTGCCCAGAAAAAAAAAGGCAAAGGCTATTTCCTATCCCCTTTAATTTGGACTGGCCTGTGACTCATTTTGAACAACAGAATGCTGTGAAAGTCATGTTCTGGGGCTTCCAAGTGCAAATCTTAAGAGCATCTGCTTCCTCCTCTTGAAGTTAACCTCCACATAAGAAGTTCAACTATCTGAGACTATCATGCTATGAGGAAGCCCAAGCTAGCTATGTGGGAAGGCCTTGCAGATGAGCCCAGAGGCACCAGACTTGTAACTGATGCCTTTATGCACCTTCCAGATTAGCCCAACTGACAGCTGAATGTAACTAAATTAGTGACTTCCAGTCAAGATGGCAGAATAGACGGTCCCCAGCGTCACTCTCTCCCACAAATCAACTAATTTACAACTATTAAAAAGCAATGACAGTCAAGCTGGGGCCACTAGAGTTCCTGGGAAGAGGAGGAAAGACCTACAGAGTGCATGAAGGCCAGAGAAGCCACAATGAGAGAAAGAAAAAAACCTCTCCAACCATTTCGAGCCGCAGCCGCTTCCAGGATGGAGCTGCTGAGTGCACAGAGCAGGAGTCAGCGAAAGCCGCAGCTGTGCCCTTTGGATGAAGTTGCCTGGAGGCAGAAGGGGAGAAGAGGGCCTTGGTGGCTCCCAGGCCAGCAAGAACACTAATAGTTTTCCCATGGACCCACATAGGAGCAAGGAGCCACAACAACTTTAAAAAAGGAGCCACTCGAAGGCTGGTGAGTCACTGCAGGGAACAGAGCACAGCCTGTCCCATGTGAAGTGGCTGCAGCACGGGCAGTGGGAGAGACAGGCCCACAGGAAGAACACTGGGACACAGCAGGTACAGCTGATCTGCCCCCCAATCAGCATAGGACCACTCAGAGGAGACTGGTCAGGAATATAGAATTGCATGGGGTGCAGTTTGATGAAAAGACTCAGGCCCAGACCAGTGTTTTTACACAACCCAGGTGCATTGGATTTCACTAAACCCAGAAGTCCTATAAACTCAACCATTAAAACCTGAGCTGCACAAAAAGGCTTCCCCAGGGAATAAGCAGCAAAGCAGCAATTTAGCTCAACCACAGAGCTCAAGTACTGGTCCCCACAGGACGTTCCCCACTTTAGAAGTAAGCAAAGGACAACAAATTAGTTCCAGTGCAGAGTTTAAGTGGTGGGAACAGCAAATAATCCAACACAGAACTGAAAGAAAAAAAGAGTACCCACGACCAGAGACAAAGTTTGATATTAAATAGTAAAGGTCTCATTTCACCAAAGAACACCTATAACACCTAGAAGGACCGGAAGTCCCCTGGGCTACCGAGCCAGAAATGGGACAACCAGGCACACCATCAGTGCCATTGGGCCCGCCTGGGGTCCAGAGGCATAGAGCTAGGGACCAGACCCTCCACCCATAAGCAAGCACACTGCCAGCACCATGGGGCCCACTTGGGGTCCTGAGGTCTGCAGCCAGGGACTGGAACCTCCCACAACCAAGCACACCACCATCACCACCACCAACTAGGTAAGGAGCATGCCAAGAACATCACCGCCATGTGGGTGGCCCACCACAGCCACCACAATAACCGTAGCTGCCGCGAAAGTGGCTAGATGCCCCAATCAGCGTGCGGATGGTCTGCCAGCCACTGGAGTACACTGACACAAGGAGAGTCACCAGCAGAGACCAAAGAAAAGAAGAGGATGTCTCTCTCCACAAAGCCCATTCCAGAGTGATAGAAGCATCTGCTCTATGATAATATTGGGGGACCTGAACACACCTCTCAGCATTGGACAGATCATCTAGGCAACAAATCAATAGACTAACCATTACTCTTTCAGAAGGAGAGAAGAAATCCAGGGTAATCAGAGCAGGGAGGGAGAGGGGAATGTGGAGGGATTGGACAAGGGGCATAAGAATAAGTTACAATTTGTAAGAATATATATGCGAGTAATATTGATTTGATCAACATATGTCAACGTTAAACCCCAAAAATATGTGTAATCAATTATAATTCAATAAAATTTTTTTTTTCCTTTTTGTCTTTTTTTCGTGACCGGCAACGGATCGCAACCCTCAGTGTCGCGCCCGTACCGGACCGGGACCGGCAACGGGATCGCAACCCTCAGTGTCGCGCCCGTACCGGACCGGGACCGGCAACGGGATCGCAACCCTCAGTGTCGCGCCCGTACCGGACCGGGACCGGCAACGGGATCGCAACCCTCAGTGTCGCGCCCGTACCGGACCGGGACCGGCAACGGGATCGCAACCCTCAGTGTCGCGCCCGTACCGGACCGGGACCGGCAACGGGATCGCAACCCTCAGTGTCGCGCCCGTACCGGACCGGGACCGGCAACGGGATCGCAACCCTCGGTGTCGCGCCCGCACCTTGCTCAGCCAGTGAGCGAGCGGCCAGTCTGTATGTGGGATCCGGACCCTCGGCGGGAGCGCCGCCACACTCCCAAGCAGCGCACTGTAGCAGTGCGCCACCGGGCCAGCTCTCAATAAAATTTTTTAAAAGTAACTAAATTAGTGATCCCTGCCAGAACCATGTGAAGAACTACTCAGCCAAGCTGCATCAACCCATAAAATTACTTGAAACAATAAATCATTATTTTAAGCCACAATAAAATTTTTTTAAAGTAACTAAATTAGTGATCCCTGCCAGAACCATGTGAAGAACCACTCAGCCAAGCTGCATCAACCCATAAAATTACTTGAAACAATAAATCATTATTTTAAGCCAGTATGTTTTACATTGTTTGCTGTAACAGTAATAAATAACTGAAATATCCATCTGCTAGTGTTTATCCATCTGCTAGTGCTGGGTAATTGGTAAGCTTCTCAAGAGCTGAGACTTTGCATCTCCTGTGCTTGGCATAATACCTCGCAGGAGGGACTTACTAAATGTCTGATGAACTGAATTTTAAGAGAATTCAGAATAAGAGAAACCCCAAAACTAAACTTTTAAATCAGCATATAATAGATGAAAGTAGAGAAAAACAGCATTGCTTCAAAGAGAGATGGTCACCTAGGCCATTATGACAAAAACATAATTCGACCAAAGGTATTAACATATTTAAAGATGGAATATGAATTAGAGCCAGCACTGATTGCTCTGGGGGGAAAAAAGGCAGGGAAGAAAAAAGTCACAAAGACTCACTTTAGCAATGCTCAGCCAGGCAGTGAACATGGCAGAGTTATTGTTAGGCAGAAATGATGTTATAGATTCCTTGACAGAGCTCTCCCAGTAGAGAGGGAAGTGTTTCAAGCTACTCTGTTCAGAGACTTAGCTTAAGATCCCCTTTGTCTATTGATTCCCTGTGGCCTCTGATAATTTGGTTTCCTGTTAGCTGGTTATTGGCAAAGTGGGAGTAAGAGTGTTAACTACTCAGGTCCACAAGGGCCTCCAGTCCAGCAAACAGATGTAATTCTCTGTCCAAATTGACAGACTGACATATTCATTATAACTGTCAGCCCCACATTCTTATTTCATGTCACAAATTTCAACTTTAAAATATAAACCTTAATGTCTTGGCTGAAGTTGTTGATAGTCCGCCATCCTGCATTGGTCAGATGGTAATTCACCCATCGCAGCAGTAATTCCTCAGGAGAAAGCTTCATTAGCTCTTCTAGTTCCTCACTTTCATTTAGCAATGCAATCAAAGCTGAGAGGAAAACAACTGAAATGTAAATTCTTCCCATAGTAAGTATGTATCAATAAAAAGAAAGTATTTTTTATTATCTTACCTTCATTCCTGGAAATCTCAATATCAGCAAAAAGACCAACTTTGATGATTTGCCAGAGAAGTCCCAAGACCAGGTGAGGTTTTCCTTCTTGGAGATCTTGTGCGCCAATGTTGACCACTGTACAACCAATGGCTGAGGCAGAATTCAGGGCTAGGTTTAAATTTTCCTGGATTGCCAAAAGAAAAATATATGTGAGGAAGTACTTTCTAAAGGCTTATCTACACTTTACCCACAAAAAACAGTGGATTGGAGAAATTTCAGATTTTTAAGCATAAGTAATAACTGTACAACCAAAATACTACTCAAAAAAAAAAAATCATGTGATTAACTATCACCTGTAATACGCCAATGACTTTCAAATCTAACCCACACCTCCTCCAATCCCCCTCTCTAAGCTCTACACCTATATACACACTTGGTTATGTCTACCTGGATGTTCTACCCCAAACTCAACATGACAAAAACTGATGTAAATTTTCTTGCCATGCTTCCCTGGTCTTCCTATCATCCCTGTTAAAACCAGTTCTTCCTTATTTATTTACTGTCTTGTTTGATAAGACCAACCTTCTTTCTTGCCTCCTTTCTTCCTAAGCCAGAAACCTGAGCAGAATATCCTTGCTCTTCCTTGCTTCCCACATCCAATCACCAATTTCTGTCTGTTCCACCTTCTAAATACCTCTGTAAACTGTCAGTGACTTTCTCAATAGTTTCATTACTTCCTTCCTAATGACCATCCTCACATTGACTCTCTCCAGTCCATCTTCTACAATGCTCTGCTGTCAGTGATCTCAGTAAAATATGAACCTGATGGTGTTCCCCAGCTTTAAAACTTCAGATGTTCCCTATTACTCCCAGTATCTTCTCTCACTCACTCTATTCCAGTTTGGCAGGGCCTTGGAACTTGCTGTTCCCTCTTCTTGGAACATACTTCCCCCCAATATCTACAGTTGCTTTAAGACTATGCTCAAATGCACCTAATTTGTGAAGCCTTTCTTTTTCAACCTACACAAAATACACAAAATACATCACCCCAACCCCTGCTGGCACTCGTTACTCCCTATTTTATGCCTTCTCACTCTGACATCTTTTATACTTGTCTCTTGTCATATCTTCCCCCACCAATTAAGAGAAGTCTATAACAGCAGGGACTTTTGTCTGTTTGGGGCTGTTTCCCCAGTACTTAGGCACATGGTATATGCTCAATAAATATTTATTGAACAGTCAGATAAATGGGTAAGAATGAATGAAGGCATGAAGGGAAAGAAGGCAAGAAGGGAAGTAGAGCGATCAAAAACCTTCAGGATCTGACTCTGGCCTTATCTCCCAACATTCCACACGTAGTCTATGCTTCAGCCAAAACAGAAGGTCTTTTTCTCTTGACCTGTAAACTTCCTCCTCTTTCCTCAAGTCACATGCCCATTCCTCATATCAAACGATTTTATGAAGGTTTCCCTGAATCATCTCCCCCCACACAATTAGTCACTCCCTTCCCAATACTTTCATAGTGACTTGCATACACACACACACACAAAGGAAAAAGGGAATTATTATTATTAACATATGCATATAATATTACATTATATAAATATATTTTAAGGACAGATATTCCCCTAGAAATTTCAGTATTATCAGTTTAATGGCAGTGAGTTAATAATCTTTTTATTTCTATAAAGTCCCCATTTAGAAGGACTTCTTTTAAAAAAAAATGATGTATAATTAGGTTTCAGTTCCAGAAAATTCTAATAATAACTCTTGAAGATGAATTTTATAGATGAGAAAGCTGTGGCACTGACATCCCAGTGGTAGCCAGAGCCAGTCCTCTTAATCACTATGCTATGCCTCTCTTGCATGGTGGTAGTAATAGCAAGTATTTAATATACTGGTCACAACAGCAGCTATGCACAGAGGTTGTTAAAGCGTAGCGAATATTGGAGTGTCTTCCTCTTATAGGATGCTGAAGTAACTTATCTTGCTGGGCTCCAAGTAAATGGCTGTATCCCTTGGGGATCAGTCTGGGATGAACCATTGGAATTAATTTTGTAGTAGTACTAAGCGGTGTTCATTTAAATATAGTTCTCCCAAAAGAAGCAACAGAACCAGAGAATACTTCAATATCTTTATAACCTCATAATTCCATACAAATAAACATGATAAATATGAAATTTACTACTAGTAAACTGCAAATATTTTATGCAAATCTTAAAAGATTTTTTAAAGCTTTGGATACTTTTAAGTTATCTTAAATCAATACAACATTCCAGAGACTGCTTCTGCCTTAGTAAACTGCAAATATTTATGCAAATCTTAAAAGATTTTTAAAAGCTTTGGATACTTTTAAGTTATCTTAAATCAATACAACATTCCAGAGACTGCTTCTGCCAATTTAGGTTTGACCACTTATATTTTTCTATCTTCCAAGAGCATAAAGGATGTTTGCTCCAGTTGTGATTCCACAGAATGCATCAGCAGGGGAAAGAACTGGACAATGATTCCAATAATAGTGTTAATCTCACAATAACCCACTTCATATCCATTCACAGCATAGTACTGTGGCCAGAAGTATGTAATTTTACTAAATTGATTGTAATAACTAGTAAAAATCAAAATCTTCTACCCCTACTCTCAGATTAAACACCAACAGCCAAAATACACCTTACTGTCTACATTAACATGATTTTGTGCGCTATTCTTGTCTTCGCTGGCATGACTTTACTATTCTACTGTCTTCGTTAGCATGATTTTACTCTTCTAGGAGTCTTGAACCTAGGCACCAAGGTCTGATTGTTCATTGGAGGCACTACCTGAAAGACCCATTAACTCTTTAATGGAAAACACCAATAGACAGTTTATACCCTAAGATTTTGTGACTTCCTCCCCTTGCTATTTGTACCAATTTTGGATTGTTGTATTGAGATCCTTACCCAACCTGAATCAGGCTCCTCCCTCCACCTCTCTCACATTGAAAGACTCACCTTAAACCACACTTCCAGTTCTCAAATTCTGCCCTCACCTTCCCAGCTCCAAGATGCTGCCAAAGTTTTGCAGGTAGTGTTTTCTCTTACTGCAGTAATCACTAAACTCAGTGTTGGTTTATCACCAGATTGTATTGTTGATTTTAAGGGGGAACCAGCTTTTGACACTAATGTTATTCAGAAATGTTGGCTTTACAAGTATCTCAAATGTCTTACAAGTGGCTAGCTCACAAAACTAGATTGAAAGTAAGAAGTTACAATGTACTTTCTTCCAGTAAATGGTAGTTTCTACTTGATAGTTGCCCTACCAGTTAGTAGGGAGTAGGACGGCCACTATCTAAAGCCACTTCTAAACATTTTAAGAACAAGTAGTAATAGAAGAACTCCATATATATAGGTTGCTCTCCACATCTTACCATGAACAACTGCCCTGACTGCCCAACTTTTCTTCCTGAACACCTGTGTTGGTGGAGAAAAATAAGAACAATGTGGAACCACAAACAATTGCGACACAAGAGAGGTGTTCTTCCCTGTGTTTCAGTGTCCTAATATGTAAAACAGGATATCCTACCTTACAGATATATTAACAAAAGAAACAAGCAAACATGACAATTTATCCAAGATTACCTACCTATCCATTTTAGATCCACATCTTCTTTGTGCATCAATGAACTGACTGTACCTAAAATAAAGCCCACCTTACCAGGTAGAAAAATTTATACTGCTGTTTTAGATGGCTTCTCGTGTCCCTTCCATTTTGATTAATTAACTATTCAACTCTTTACTAACAGTCTCACATAGGTCCTGTAAGTTTTCTTTTAATTCACATTGCTTTGCAAATATTCATTTCCCATAAAGGTTTGATTCCAGATGAGTATACTTTTGTTAATGATTTTTAGAGTGCTATGCTATATACTTAATGGGTCAGAAAGAATAAAGGCATGACTTATTATTCAGATTTCATCCTTATTTTACATATAATCACTTTTACTCCATTTGGAATGTCAAAATGAAATTTATAATGTTTTCCCTACTTAAGCTGTAATTAATTACATGTAAGGTAAAATTAAGGTCGTATGTGTGTACATTTATGTATAAAGTATAGATATACATACTTTGTATGTATGTGTGTATACTGATTGCACTGGATTTTTTTTTGTTTTTTTTACATTGTGTTGAACAGATTCAATTTCCTATGGCCAGTTTTGTGTTAGTTTCCTAACTTTTAGGTCCCCAGATCACTGCCATCTGTTTTGCAAAGTCTCATTCTTATAATTAATTTTTTTCAATAATGATAAACAAGCATGATGATGCAGCTGAGTAGTATGCTGGATAGGAAAAAAAAAAAAGATGAGAAAGTCTCCAAGATCATAATGAGTCCCGTTCTTAACCACTTGATCTGTCCCTTTCCCTTGCTTTCTTAAGTACTGTATATCATTTTCATCCTTTCTCTTCTTTCATACATCATGATACCACATAAATCTAAGATGAGAAAGTCTCCAAGATCATAATGAGTCCCGTTCTTAACCACTTGATCTGTCCCTTTCCCTTGCTTTCTTCAGTACTGTATATCATTTTCATCCTTTCTCTTCTTTCATACATCATGATACCACATAAATCTATTATCATAAGACAAAAACCTATACTACCACAACCTTTTCAATCTTTTACAAATGAATTAGGCTTCTTCAGGGTAAAGTTTCATGTAAAAATAGTAGGTTTCTAGCAGACCTATTCACAGAGCTCTAAAATCCTCAACAAAAAACACAGATTTAATATTCACAGTAACAATTTGCCCCTTCTCAAAATCCTCAGTTTTTCTCATTCTACAATAGTATTCTCTCTTTCAAGCATCCTAAAGGCTTAGACATTACCCCCTACTCATATGGGAAGAATGCTATCTCTAAAAATAAAACTGTATAATACTTGGCCCCTCAGATCCATTCTATACCTACTGCAAAATATTACAGAATACTTTTTCTTTATTTCTTTAATGCGCTGCATACAAGTATTAAAAGTAAAACCAAACAATAAATTTATACAACAGTAAAAAATGCTGTATTTCAAATTCATTGCCATAAAAAATTGATACATGTATTCTAAAAATAAGATGGACACAAGTATTCTCAATAATTATGGATATCCAATGAACATCTTAGCACAATCCGTGAAAGAAAATAAGCATTTGGCAACGCAAGTGGAAATGGGCTTCTTCAAAAATGGTAGTTTCTATTAGGGATATGCAACATTACTGACCTATTGGCAAGTGGGGTACAAGAAAGTCATGTGGTCAATATCAATTCTGTACTTCTCAAGGATGACAGGAAATGGGGAACCCCTAGGACAGTCCAAGACTAACCATGTACCACTGCACTAAGGTCATAGTTTCCTGCAGAAAACACTTAACTATTTTAGCAAAATCAAGGATTGCACTTGCCAAATGAAGGAAATGGCTAACAGCAGTGCAATTTTAATAGCCACTGTTGTAACCACACATTAAATAGCTGCTATTACTATTTCCATATCACAGTGGCAGTATAGCGGCATGATTAAGAGGATGGGCTCTGATGATAGACCACTGGGATCATATTCTGGCTCTACCATTGTGTAACCTGTCAGTGCCTCAATTGCCTCATCTGTAAAATCATACTATGTACATTATAAAGTTGCTGGGAGGAGTCAAGGGGATAATTCATACAGTGTGTTTAGAACAATGATTGATACCTAGGTGGTATTCAGTATTTATTAATATTAATATCCACCTACTGGTCTAGTTATTTTGAAGGAAAAAGTGTGGTAACTATAAATTCCTGGACTTTAACAAGATCTGTATGGAGAAGCCGAATACAGAACAATCTAGTATAAAAAGAGTATTTGAAAATTTTGTGAATGGTAAAACATGATAAAACTAGGCAGTGTTCTTTTTCAATCAACACTAACAATAGCATCAAATAAATATTCATTAATAAAACCACTCAATAATTACAATATAAACAGAATACTATTGGGGCTTCCAGTCAAGATGGCAGAATAGACAGTCCCCAGTGTCACTCTCTCCCCAAAATCAACCAATTTACAACTATAAAAAAGCAACAACAGCCAAGCTGGGGCTGCTAGAGCTCAGGGGAAGAGGAAGAGAGACCTACAGAGTGCCTGAAGGCAGGAGAAGTCACAATGACCACTCCATTTCATGCCACGGCCACTTTAAGGATGGAGCTGCTGAGCACAAGGAGCAGGAGCTGCCAAAAGCCACAGCTATGCCCTTTGGATGGAGTTGCTTGGAGGTGGCAGGAGAGAAGAGGGCATTGGTGGCCCCTAGGCCACCAAGACCACTAATAGGGTTCCTGTGGACCCACATAGGAGCAAGGAGTCACAACAACTGAGGAAAAGGAGCCACTCAGAGGCCAGTAAGTCATTGAAAGGGACCAGCGCACGGCCCACCCCATGGGAAGTGTTTGAAGCATGGACGGTGGGGGAGACGAGCCCACTGGGGGAACACTGGGGCACAGCAAGGACAGCTGATATGCTCCCCAATCAGCATAGGACCACTCAGAGGAGACTGGTCAGGAATACAGAACTGTATGAGGTACAGTTTGATGAAAAGACTCAGGCTCAGATCAGAGTTTCTACACAACCCAGGTGCACCGGGCCTCTGGAGAGCCGGAAGTACATATAAAGTCAACCCTTAAAACCTGAACTGTACAAAAAGCCTTCCCTAGTGAATCAGCAGCAAAGCAGCAATTTAGCTAAACCACAAAGCTCAAGTAAGTTCCCCTGTTTTAGAAGTAAGGAGAGGACAAAAAATTAGTTCTGGCCCAGGCACACTGCCAGTGCCTTGGGGCCTGCCCGGGGACCTGAGGTATGGAGCCAGGGACCCCACCCACCACACCCAGGCACACCGCCCGTGCCAAGGAGCATGCCAAAAACCACCTCCATGTGGGTGGCCCACCACAGCCACCACAATAATCATGGCTGCCGCAAAAGCGGCTAGATGCCACAACCACCACAAAGATGGTCCTCCAGCCACTGGAGTGCACTGACACAAGGAGAGTCACCAGCAGAGACCAAAGAAAAGAAGAGGATGTCTCTCTCCACAAAGTCCATCCCAGAGTGACAGAAGAAGCTCTGCTCTATGATAATATTGGGGGACCTGAACACACCTCTCAGCATTGGACAGATCATCTAGGCAACAAATCAACAGAGTAACCATTACTCTTTCAGAAGGAGAGAAGAAATCCAGGGTAATCAGAGGGGGGAAGGGGGAGGGAGAGGAGGATGGGGAGGAATTGGACAAGGGGCATAAAGAATAAGTATGATTTGTAACAATATATATGCAAGTAATATTGATTTGATCAACATATGTCAACACTGAACCATGAAAATATGTATAATCAAGTATGATTCAATAAAAATTAAAAAATTAAAAAGAAAATTTTAAAATTTTATAATATTAAAAAAAACCCAGAATACTATTAACTCAAAGAAGTTCATTCAAAGTACTTTGAACCTTAATTTCGTTGATTATAAAATACAGCTGAATTTTTATTTAATAAAAATCTAGTTTTTATAGGAAAACAAAAGTACATTAAATCAAAGATTTTATGTGGTCCCGAACATCCACTAATAAAGACTGTACATTTTGCAGCACAGTAACATGATTACTAGCAAAGAGCAAATACTTACAGAAATAGTGAAAGGGGTGAGCTTTTTCTTGTTAATGGCTCTTTCATCAATTGTATCCGGTTCAGATAAGTTGATCATTTTGCTAAAAACAAAATGTGAATAATTTAGTTTGACTCCCTGAAATGTTTTCAGTTTATTTTTTGCAAACAGCCAAAATAGTTAAATTCTGAAAAGTGATATCTATTTCTTTAAAATATTAAACTGTAATTCATGTCAGAAACTTAATTTTAAAAATCTAAAAGTCCTTATCCCAAGACACATCCATCCATCACTCACTGCAGTAGTAATCTTAGCACTTATTCCTCATTTTTTTAATCATCCTGCTTTTTATATTAGTCTCGTCTTTATTTCACTTAATGATAATCAACATTCAGTAGCTTGAAACATAAACAAAGAAATTCAAGAAGCCAGGTTTCACTAACTAGTATCAACACTTGAAATTACTGTTGCTGCAGAAAGATAAGGAGCTAGAGACTTCCTCTAACACTTCAGACATTTTATTTTTTTAATTTTTTAATTTTTTTTTAAGTTCTGGATTTTTTTTTTCTTTTCTTTTTTTTTTTTTTTTTGTTTTTTTGGCAGCTGGCCAGTACTGGGATACAAACACTTTTTTTTTTTTGGTCAATATACAATGTGAATGATTATTGTGGCCAATTACCGAAACCTTCTTCTCTCCTCTCTCTCCCCCCTCCCTCTCAACAATGTCCTTTCTGTTCGCTTGTCATATCAATTTCAAGGAATTGTAATTGTTGTGTCTTCTTCCCCCCCCCCCGTTTTTTTGTGTATTTACTTATTTATTTTTAGCTCCCACAAATAAGTGAGAACATGTGATATTTCT